ACTCGCTATGTGGTATGGTATGCAGTAGCACAGAGAATACAGCCTTTAAATCCTTTAAGCACTTACCTATGACATCGATAATAGTGAAAATGCGATTCCCAGGTGGCATATCAAAAGAAGAAGAGAAGTTCACTGGGAGAGGTTTATTGGAGGTCCGGCGTTACGAGAAGTTGGTTCGTCTTCCCATCTTCAGAGACTGGGAAGTCCTCCGCGCAGATCTCCTTATATGGCGCACTTTGTTTGGTGTTACTGCATTCAACCCGCATGTCACCGTGACCTGAATCGCCGCCGTCGGCCGTGAGGTAGCAACCCATGCCGCGTAAATGGGACACATTTTCAACTTTGAGGCCGTTGAGATTGTGGGCCGGGACGATAATCATAAGTCAAGGCAGGTGCAAGAAGCCTGGATGTCCACCTACCGCTCTGCCTGCCCGTATCTGACTTTACGAACCTTCTTATCGGGGGACAGTCACGGCGCGGGACAATCAGGGCGGTCAACTATCTCCGAGGCCGACGAGGGCGGGGGTGATTCAGGTCACGATGACATGCGGGTCAGATGCAGTAACACGGTCGCTATTGGCAGGCCACGCATCATACAAAGTGCGCCATGTTAGGGGAGCTGTGCGCAGAACTTCCCAGCTTCTGAAGATGGGAAGACGAACCAACTACTCTAAACGCCAGACCTCCAACAAACCCACCACCACCACCACCACCACCACCACCACCACCACCACCACCACCACCACCACCACCACCACCACCACCACCACCACCACCACCACCACCACCACCACCAACACCACCACCACCACCACCACCACCACCACCATCATCATCATCACCAGCATCAACTGCAGATCAGGGCGGTAGTTTTGACAATCTAAGGCTGTCGATGATCAAAATGACTGAGATTGGTCAAGCAATTGGCCACTGGCGATGCGCTGTGTCCTCATTTAAACATATTTGAAGTGTCTTCTCTTTCGCCCCCACAATGTCGTATATTGATGACTTGAAGCCGTACAATTAGTAAAGTCAGCACAACCAAGGTTCAGGGCAAGAAGGGTATAGTTTTTTTGCAGTCAGAAAGAAACAAGAGAGTATCTGTAGGCAGACAGCATTGAAGTGCATTATAAGTGAGACAGCTAAACAATGTCCTAAAGTTTCACACCAGTGGCATAATAAATAAATCCTCCTATAGTTGTGAAAATCCCCTTAGATATATCCAGAAAAAATGAAGGCGAGCGAACATTGCTTTCGATAACATCTCTTTAGACCAATAAAGTTATATGGGACGGGGTATAGTGAGTGAAAAAATCGATAAAAGTTAAGTTTTAAATTACAGGCTAGGCAAGAGCGGAAGGGCGCAGAAAGTTGTATGTGGTTAGTCAATCTTTGTCCACGGTAAGCGCGGAGCCTGAACGAGGTTCTTCTAGGCGCATAGGGGCCCCGCTGAAGCATTTCGTGTGATTTATAGGGCCCCCTCGAGCTACCCTAAGCTACTGGGCCAGCGCCTGTTAGCAACAGCAGAAGTGGCCGCCATCAGGTTTCGAAAACCGACCCTATGTGCCCAGAAGAACCTAGTTCAGGCTGCGCACTTACCGTGGTCAAAGGTTGACTAACCACATACAACTTTCTGCGCCCTTCCGCTCTTGCCCAGTCTGGAATTTAAAACCTAACTTTTATCGATTTTTTCAATCACTATATCCCGTCCCATATAACTATATTGGCCTGACGAGATGTTATTGAAAGCAACGTTCGCTCGCCACCCTTTCTTCTAAATCATCTTAAAGCATATCGCTTTCTAGTCAGACAATGTCATTTAAATCTGATGTCGTGAGTTCATCAGGCAACATTAAAAGCAGCCTAAAAGTTTTCCATAGAAAACTACGAGAATTACTGATGCTAAACGTCTTCTTCTAGTCAGTAGGCCTAAGAACTCGGCGTAGCTAGCTTATTCATCAGTACACTTAGTGACTACACGTTATCTACATTGTGAAATAATTGCCGTCGAATCAGCTTAAACTTTTTTTTGGGACTTCTCAATTTCGACTCACTATCACAACCACCCTGCTCCCTTTGAAGACGAGCTGAACCTTTCTGAAACCTATGGAAATATGCGTAAGCCAAAAATCCCTGGTTCATCGCCAGTGGCACGCAACCATCTGGCGTCAATAAAAGGTGGGTTCCTTTTTGAATTCTGTAAGCGTATACTCAACCTCTGTCCTCGTAGACACATAAGTTGACTAGACGAGCATGGGGAGACAAGACAGTACATGATACGGTACAGGATAATAAACGAAGTGTTCCGGTGCTCGACTCTTTTGCTTCACGGTACATGATATTTGGCGTACGGGCATCCTCGTACCAGACTAAAATAATGAGTGGGAAACAAAATTTGAGAACCATCTTAACATCAATTTTACAAGCATCAAAATGCAGGTCTGAGTCATCCTCGTGTTTACGTGGCTTCTAATAGACGAAACAGAAGAACAGGTTCTAATCAGGACAGCTTCCTGTTTATGCGTTGATGAACTGACTGACTCTGTCCTGTTTACGAGTAACTTGCAGAAAATATCGTTAATAATTCGTCGGTTCCATCAGTGTTAACCACTATGCCGGTAACAATTACTGCCACCAGTAGGTTCTCTCGTTTCTTTATCATGTCCGATTTCCTGTCAACAACAGCCATCCACATCCGTTAAAAATCTAACCGAACGTCATTGCAGACTGAATTCTGCAATCCATATTGTAAAAGGTGTCACAGGAAAGATTATATAAGGAGACATTTTGCAGTTTTGGCGGTGAAGAATTAATTCCGAATCTAATGTCCAGTGGTTTCAACCACGCTGGTAGTTTTATTCTTTTAATGGAAATCTATCCGGTTTTTGAAAATTGAGTAGTTTCACATGTATCGCCTATGAAGGTTTTTTTCAAGCAGTCGAATGTGCTTTTCAACTCAAGTGATTTCAGCCGACTTCGATCCCTGCGTGTACTCCAAACCCGTGGTATCAGTCTTTTTTCGGATTTAGAAAGGCTGGCCTTTGCAATTTGAAGACACAAAACTGTAGACGTTAACTCAGAACGATGTCGCGCTAGATTTGCATGAAGTTCATCTAAGATGGTGCGGTTCGCACTTACTGCGACAACTTCGTTGGGGCATCTCAAGCCATATTTTAAGGACGACAAAAGTTCATTGTTGCCGCGTCACGTACGACGTCAACGTCTAACTGCAAGCGACGCTGTGAAGGTTAGGTCGTTGCTCTAATCAACGCGGTCTGTAAGGTAATGACGGTACAACTTACGGTAATTCTCTTCTGAGCATATTTCTCGTGGTCTGAGAGAGCAAGCTCTACATCATGCTGCAAAGCGCAACGGTACGAACAGTTCCTGTAACCTGATCAGTGAACGTCCTTTCTCACAATGAGTAATACGCCCAATCGTACCTGTCAAGCCAAAAAGCATGTGAATCGATACTAGATTGTTAGACTCAATAAGCATGGATCCTGGGTTCGTATCCCAGGTGTCCCACATACCGGCTTTGGCGAAGCCGACTAAGGAGGGTTAATTAGCCAGAAATGGCCATCTCAGTAGCCCGTCTCGTTGTTGAAACGTAATTTTGCCCATCTTCCTGATCGCTATGCGGCTGACTGTGAGAGTTTTGCATAGAGCCCAAAGGCAAGAATGGACAAGCAGTTTTGGTTACTCGATAGACTAATGTCCCTTCTTACAAAGAAGTATGTATCTGCTCCTTGAAACCGTAGAATAGTGTGGTCTAATTTTTAGTCCCAATCATGACTTTTTTCGCATGTGTAACGTTGAGTACAGTCCCGAAATAAAACCCAGGTTTCGATCATGAGATCCAGGCAAAACGCGTAATGTCACCAAGCGAGTCCGATGTGTTTTTCGAGGAGCCGTGGACATGGGCAAAATTGTCGGCCTATTAGTAAAAAGCATGTACAAACATTACGAATTAATTTGTGCGGCCGATCTCCTGCCTCCGAGTGGCCGAAGGCTGCATCTTACTTCAGCTAAGTGCCTTGCACACAGTAAACCATAGCCTGTGTACGAGTCTGTTGTTTGTACCTCCAAATAATGGGCATTATATGGCTGTAAAACAACAACCCACTAGGCTGGTTATCAAAAGATAATTTTATTTACATAGAGGAATTGGGGATGTCTGAAACGAGCACTTTCTGATCATTTTTAGTATCGTAGGTATCTAGTTCACCAAACTGAGGGCAATGAAATCATTGGCAAATTTGGGATTTGTATACAGTTTGCTCGTTTCTAAATCGCTTTTGGAATACCCAGAGAGTTGTATTAACCACTTTAAATATATCGCATACATTCTACCGTAATGATGATGAATAAACCAAAATAGGATTTTGTATAAGTTTGGAGGAGTTATTTATGAGCAATCAATGTTCTAATGTTCTGTTCTCATTCTAGAAGTTAAGTTCGGTTGCGGAGATTAGTAGGGTAGAAATGCTGCTTCTGAAGACTCTTTTATTTGATCGCACAAGCAGAAACACAAACAAAAATCTGTTGTGTCGCAGTAAGGGTTCCGGGCAAAATAAAGAAAAGGAGCGGAGGAATGCGCGCTCAGATTGGGTCGTATTTGTCCAGAAGGAGAGTTTGGAAGTAGGTTGGTCAGATGGTCGTTCGGCCGATTTCTCTTCGACCTCAGAAATGCCCGTGGTGCGGTAAGGGATTAATGTGTTTGCTTACTCCTGCGACACAGGTCGTAGTCACGAACAGGCGGAGCCTCGAACACTGGATAAGGTGGTGTTGATATACGGTTAGTGGAGGGAGGTGTACTACCTATTCAAGGCAAAATATACACTTCTAAATTAGTAGTAGTATAAGTTGAATTCTAGACCGTTCACGTAATGCTACTACAGCTTGTCACGGAATGCATGATAATGAGTTATATCTGTGAGAAGCAAACCAAAAAATTAAAAAATTACAGATTTTGCCTTTCACCTTCACAGCCGACGCAAACTGACTTATTCACCAAAATTTTACAGTAACTGCTTGATTAAAAATTGTAACTTGATAAGGGTTGCAGCACTGAATATTTGGCGACAAAATCGCATTTCATTTTTCCGGCTTTCGAGTGCACCTATTTAGGACTACCTGCAAAACAAACCCGAAAACGTGGCTAGTAAATCGTATTAAACTTTCTTTTGCTTTTTGACGCCTTCGCAGATCTAAATACAATGTATTGGAAGATCTTAACAATATACCCTTTTATGAACGCATTTCGCATCGATTCACGTCTCACAGGAAGCGTTGTTTCTCGATTTTAAGTTGCTTCACAATTCTGGTATTTTTTAAGACTACAAAGTATCTATTCTTACGCCATGGCATATATTCGTTTATGGATGTTTCCTACGAATTATACAATGGTCCACATCCATTGCAAGGTCAAAGGAATAAACGAATGCCGGTAAGAGAGAATAATTAAAAGCATATTTAAGTAACAGGAGTACTCAACAACACAATGTTTTCTAATGGAAACCTACGACAGTTTTTCGCTTGACTGAGCATTTAAATTTAACTAGAATTTGACTGTATTAAGTGAACATCATCAAATATCACATGAATGTTTATGAAAGGAAAAGCAAAAGTTAACTGAATGATTTAGCACGAATAAAACAGCGTTTGGGAAACAACAGAATTAACGCCTGTTCGACCAGCGACTTCAAGTAGTTCAGGATGCAGGAAAGCGAGACCAAACGATTGCAGCTTACTGAGATCTGTAGGAGGTGTTCCAGAGGGAACATCGACATGCTCATCTTCTGTCTCATCGGAGTCCATTCCAAAGGGTACAGTTGAACTGATGGGCTTAACAATGCGGCGCACGAAGGGCTTCTCAACAACCTCCCCGCCTACTATAAGCGACTTTGGGAGGCCGTAACTGCCATTGTTGACTTCGCTGCTGTTGCGGTGGTGTACAGCGTCCTCATTTACAGGATAAGGAGGCTGATTTATTTTTGGTGTAAACATAGGTCTCGATTTTTTCTTTCTCAAAGGCTTCACTAGAGGTGGAGGCGTTGAGCTGATCCCATTCAAAGACGGCGTGGGGTTCTCTTCTACCACCTGATCGCACATGGCTTCCCTTGTTATCCAACCAACTGAAGGCCTTGCTGTGGTATGCACATGATCGCATAACGTTACTCTTGACATTGGCAGATCTGACAATTTATGCTCAATGCTCTAAACGCCTCCAGAATTAATCAGACACGCCTACACTTCAGATTTATAAGGGTGTGTGGGCCAATTGTGGTTTTCCTGTTCTCCACATAATCCTATTGGCTACATCAAGGTGTTTGCAAAAGTAACTTCCATCCTAGTAAACGCAGACGTAAACATCACGCCAGTTTAAGACGATGTGCATAACTATGGGTTGTTTATGGTCAGAAAATTGCTTAAGCCGACCACCTGTCGATTTTTTCTTGGACATCGTTTGCCATTGATATCATCCACATTCAGCAAAGCCAAAAAAGGCATTTTCAGATGATCGTTCATTGAGGATTTTATATGTGAGTTAAATAACTGCGTTAAAGAATTGACGTTTTGTAGAACTTAAAGTACTCTTTAATCCAAAGTGCTTCCATGCGTGATTGTTTAACCTCTGGGAATAACATATAAAAAGTAGTTTATAGTTAATATATAAAACCTAAAAAGAAGAGCCTACGGAAAGAAAATGCAAGTGTATAAAATGCGAACTATTAACTGAAGCAATGGCAATGCTCGACAAATATCGATTAGCAACCCAAGCACCACCAGCAAGCGTCCAGGTGTTAATTCAAGCGAGATAAAGTTGTTTGGGAATATACCGAGATTTAGACACTAGAGGTGACTGAGGACTTATTAGGTGATCTAAGTGGCCACTTAAAAGTGTGTTCTAGTTACGTAACATGACGCCACCTGAATTAGCCATTCGTATAGAAATCATATGCTTGAAAACCAGTAAAATAAAAATACCAGGACTCTGAATATTCTGCAAATAACTCACCCACTTAGATTCTTTTGAAGCAAAATATATTTAAGTAACTTCCAACTACTTCTCAGTAGAGAAAGTGAATGGAAACCGCACGCAGAAGGAAACTGGGAAGTGTGATTATCTTTAGACTCCAAAGCTGCTAAATCAATCGCTGAATTATAGGTAATTACTTTTGCCCACAAATAAGGTTAACAAAATTGCTTATTATATGGACTCCGTATAGTCTTCAAAGGTAATCTAGCGAGACACATTAATGCATGAATATTGTGCTGACGATGGTAATTTTTCACAGTTGAGATAACAATACGCAAATTAAACAAAACGGCTTCATGAATATACTTAAGCGGACCTCTGCATGCGGTTAAAACAAAGCTATTTCACGGATGGAAGCGAATATGCGAATCCCAGGTTCTTGTTG